GTAGCTCCATTCCCTTGTGTGGTATTGGAAAAAGGAAATTCTTAATGGATGTTCTCATGTACGTCAGCTTTAGTTATCATAGATTAAAGAAGTAACTTTAAAGGCGAAAATTAATATTGCAATACCCTGTGTCCAGTAAGTCTGAGGAGATGTTATGGTGGTTTTTGTATGGGCCATCTAAGAAAGACTTCTATGTAAGTTTGGGGGAAAACAATGATTTGCCAGGCTGAACTGTGAGGAAAGCCAGAAAAACTCAGCCACAGGCCAGGACATGGACAAGTGTTATCTGTTTTGGTTGTAGAGAAGTGGGCCATATCTATAGGCATTGTCCTCAGAGGAAATGTGCTTACTGCAGGAAGAGATGCAGGAACCTGAGTAAGCAATGGAAGAAAGGAGTGTAGAATGATACGAATGCATATGACGGCCTGAATACCCAGGAGGCAAGTGAACCAGGGGTGGTACTGATGACAAAGAAGTGTACAGCTATTCAAGAGAGCCACACGGAAAAGGCAAGAGAGATTAGGGTGGGAGAATTACAGAGGTTGACACAAGCCATATAGAGGTGGGCATAAACACAGAGATTACTGTGAAGATGGATGCCATGGTTAAGAAGTGCCTGATACAGCTGACTAGTTACCCCTTGACAACCAGAGAATATGCTGGTGACTATGGCTACCCATGGGGACCAGGAGTTGAAAGTGGTGAGTCTGCAAGGGAAACCTGGTGACCTGAGGCAAACTCTACAGGCAGCCCTAAGAGACCAGAAGTCAGTGGTGGAGGCTTTTCTAGAGACGGGGAAAAAAACAAGGTCTGTGAGAAGGGCTGTAATGCAACAATGAATGGAGAGGATGTTAGAAACCTGCTTTTCCTGACTGAGACACATTGAGGGGACCTGGATGCTGCAGAAGAAGCCAGACAGCAAGCTGTGAAAGAAAAGGAGCAATTGTTCATGGAAATTGACCACCTCAAGGGAGAGCTGGAAAAAATATGGGGCGGTCTCCGGCATAGGTGGTAACGCTTGCCGTGGGACAGAGCAAGGTTTTAGAAGGGGGTGGGAGATGTATGTCACGGGCTGGCTGGCTCTAAATTCAAGCTAGGCTCAGCTTTGCCTACGACCTAGCAACTCAGAGATAATTAGTAATCACACCTGAGTGTGGTAGGGTGAGTTAATTTAAATAATTGACCCCAGCAGTGGAGAATCAGAAAGGACTGCTTAAATAGAGCTGGGAACACCATCTGGGGGAGGGACCAGAGAGCAGGCAAGCTGCGGTGGAAGGCCCTGAGAAAGGGTCTGTAAAAAGACCCACAGAGATTAGTTTAGGCTCTGATGGGGGAACTGTGGGATAGGGCCTACCAGCAGCAGGGAGATCCCTAAGGCAGAGGTTCACAAACTGTGGTCCGTTCAGGTGGTCTGTGGATAGTTCCCTCTAAGGTGCGCACCTGGGCAGCCGCGCACAAGAGAATGAAGGGCCACCCACCTAATTACTGGAGCCACGCTGATAAATTATTATTGAGTTAAGTTTTTTTTAATATAGAGCTTTTATCCAAAGTGCTTTACAATAGTTAGCTAACAGTACAAACAATATTTGGAAAGATCATTAAGTGGCCCACTGAGACCCTCAGCAATTTTCAAGAAGATGCCAGAGTCCCTGGGAAAGGGAGGCAGTGAGGGAATCAAGTAGGGGAGGAAGCAAGATAAGAGAAACTCTGCAGGGGTCAGGAGAAGGGGCCAAGAAGTAGAGGACTTCAGTAGAGTCTGAGAGGGGCAGAAGCAGTATTAGTTTGGGTATTTGGGGCTTTTGGGGCTTTTCCCTTCTGCATTTGAGTCAGGTGACTTTCTGCTCCACACTGATGGGGTGCCAGTAACGTGATCAATAACAGCACAGGAGAAAGTCTCCCTGCTCTAAATTCTGGTGCCCAGCCCCACCTTGGCCTGGAACATCCAGAAGCAGCACTTACAGGGAAAGTCCAGTTTTGCCCTTGTGGCCCTGGGATGGTATATGTTCCATCATTCTTTGGGGGTAGTGCATGTACAGTCTGGTTACATGTAGGAGCTGTGAGGGGATGGAGCATGCTAAGTCACTCTGTGGGCACTGTGAATGCACTGTCTGGTTGGCACGTGGGTTAGTGAGAGGACTGAGAAGGCTCACCGGAGACAGAATCTGTGAAGATTTTAGCTGCTAATATCCAAGTCTGTACTAAACATGTATGACGTGAGATTTTTTTCCCCAAAGGCTTATAACTGGGTCAAATTTGGGCAGATTTTCACTGGGATGGAAAAAGGCAGATACCATGAAACACTTCAGCTCAGATGGTTAAAATTTGGCACAGTTGTAAGCAACTGCAAACAGGCTTTTACAATGGCAACCTTAATAAGAGGCAATGCTACCAGCCCCATCTTTTCATACATCATAATGTTTAAGGCCAGAAGAGACCATTAAATCATCTAGTCTGACCTGTATATCCAGGCCATCACATTTCCCCCAGTTACCCTGTATTGAATCCAATAACTTGTGTTTGACTAAAGCATATTTTCTAGAAAAGCATCCAATCTTCATTTTGAAGACATTACAAGATGAAGAATCCATTACATCTCTTGGTAGTTTGTTCCAATGGTTTCTCATCCTCACTGTTAAAAATGTGTGCCTAATTTCTACTTTGAATTGGTCTGGCTTAAGCATTGGTTCATGTTATGCCTTAATGAGCCCTTTTCTGTAACAGACCTTCACCAGTATCCTTTCTGGGCTTTCTCAGTTAGCACATTGATGCAGGTGCATTCAAGACCCTACTCTTATGAGCAATCTGTAACTCTAAAACAGGGAATGGTGTCTTTAATATATAGTGGCAACCCCTCACCCTCAGTTTTTACCCATTGTATCCTTCTTGAACAGGTTATAACCAGTGATTTTAACATTCCAATCATCTCAGCAGGTTTCCGTAATGCCAATTATATAGCCCCTCTTGCTTTTTACTCAGACTCCTAGTAGTAGTACATAAACAACTGAAAAATGTCGTCTTTTTATGTTCATCGTCACATTGGTTCAATTTGTTTGCGCCATACTGAGATGTAGTTTGTACCAGAGCTGCCACCTTAGCACCTTCCCCTGTGGTGTTAATTGAATGCCCTCTTGACTGCTCCAGCTAGTCTCAAACCAAGAAGATTAGCGCCCCTTCCCTCTAATAAAGGCATCGCTGGAATGTTGCTTGATTCAGTTTCTTACTCAGTATGGCTACATGGGTATATAAGGTTACAGGGATATATGATATATTTTGGGGCCGAAACAGAGTGATTGCAAATCTTTCCTGGTTTAGGCTTAAACAGAAGATTTTGCTTGTTTGAAAAAGCCTGAAAATCGCTTGCTCTCCATTTTTTTCCCCATAGAATTTTCACTATAGTTGAAAAGTAATCCACAATTTTCTAGGTGAAGCTCAGTCTTTTTGTACTTGAAAATATTTAATAACCTAATCAAGTTACTTGATAGATAGACACAACCGTTACACTCCAATCTACGCCTGAATTAAGAAAATGAGGCTGGCTCCCAGATACCCTCTTTCAGTCGCTCATCAAGAGCCATAGGCCCCTGCAGTGGAAAATGTGTTTGGATGAGTTATTCCCTTTGGGTGCAATTACTGGTTTCTAAGTTTGCACATGGGAATACATGGAGCGGTTACTACCTATTTGATCTTGCCATTGCATATGCAGTCGATCAGAAAACATTCTATTCTGTATTCAGCAGAGATTGTAGTTCCACAAAAGGTTGATTTTCATGTAGCTTAGATACAAACATTTCAGACATACCCTCAAAACTCATGGGAGATTGCTATTCTATAACATAAAATGATCACAGAACTATGATAAGGGGGAGGTGAAAATGTGTGTATCTTTTCTCAATTAACAAAGGAAATTTCATTCCGATTCTCTTTTTTCTCTTATGTGTATCCCAGGATATCGACAAAATGCCAGATCATTTTCCTATGCCTTCTGTGCTTCCCACATATAGATAATATCAGTAAAATGTGAACCTTTATGGACAAATGAGAATCCCATTACACTTAGTACTTTTCACAGCATGCAGATTTTGTTTTAAAGAAAGTGATTTAGGAAACACAATTTTCAAACTTGGGAATTCAATTTAGGATGTCTAGTTCCATATTTGGGGTCTCAAATCTGCATCTAGGTGAGTAGAATGCATATTTGAGGCTGAATATTGCTCTTCATTTCCTAATAGAATATTTGGTGCCCTGACTGAGGCAACAATGTTTGTAAATTGGGCCTGTACATGTGCAAAATTACAGTACTGCCATGCAGCTACTAGCCTTTAGGACCCTTCCACACCCAGGGCATGACTCAAAACCCATTGGAGTGAAGGAAAAGACGTGAGCTAGAGCTTGCCCCATTGCCAAGCATGTTCAGATGACCCAATACTAATAGAGCGGGAAGGCGGCAGGTTTGAGGGAGGGCAGCAAGAGCCTGAAGATGAATACATGATTTTCATACAGTTTTCCTACACAATCTCTCCCTGTATATTATTGTCTACTGATAGTTTCTTCTTTGTTTCAGGGTACAGCATAAAGTACTGAGACAGAATTAGCAGACGAGTGGTTTCCCTTTTATAGTTTAAAATGCATAAATGCTCCTCTCATACTGAGGTTCCCACCTAAGCACGCTGTCACAAACTCCAAACCTTCACATGATTATATGTTTTGGGTGTTGTATTCACTGAATGCTGCACAATCGCTGCATCCATTTTACTGTACAAAATATGCGTAAAAGATGTAGGTAATGAAATAAAGCAGGATAGAGCCCAAAGATTTTACTGTGATTAGGTGTCCAGGTATTCCTTCATATATAATTGCACACAACTTCTATGTGTTGATGTTTACGCATGCTACAAAATATGAATGAGTCGTCAGATCAAATGTGCAGTGCTTGAAAAAATTAGGGACCTTTTCTGAGGTCTTTTTACATAGTCACGTTTTTCCTTAACTCATATATTTACATTGTTCAGTATGTTTATTATGTGCACTATTTTAACCAACTGTGTGTTCATGGCACAATCGGAGGTTCAATCATGGAATAAATATGTTGAGTAAGTATCTCTGCAGATCGGTATATCCCTTCCCTTTAGCTCTTCTGTACTCTTTCATTGTAGTCTTCTCATTTTGTTTGCTGTTATCTAATTTTTTCCATTAATATTGACTTCTGTGCAATATTTGTCCTGACAAAATGTTTTGCCAGGTATTTCTCGCCTCAGAAAACTCCCTTAGAAAGTAAGTTAACAATTTTCAGTCTACCAAACTCATACTTTTTGCTAAATGCACCTGCTATGCTACATCTGAATGGAATCATGGTATGATTCGAGCTCCATTTGAAATTGGCCTGCCTTCCTGAGTTTCCATGTAAGGGATTCAGAAGCTGGATACAGTAGAATATATTACTGGACTTCTAATTGAATGATTTCAGAAAATACTTACAGAACATACTTGGTTCAAACCTAAAGGCGTAATCCAAAGCCCGTTGACATCAATGCAGTCTTCTACTGATGTCAGTGGGCTTTGGACCAAGGCCATAATGAAAAGAGCTATGGTACATACAAATAATTTCTAGATATATTTTATGAGAAACCACCAAACCTTTGGAATTCTCTGTGGGGTTAGAATTCTCAGAAAACCCTCAGAGCTTTAACTGACAGTTCCCTGTTCTGTTTTTTTTTAAAAAGCTAGCTTTAAAGTTAAGTCTGGTAAGTTTGCATTTCCGTAAGTTGTTTGAAAATGTTCTTTATGGAAATAGATACCAGATGCACAAGCTAATCAACATATAGTACATTAAACAATTACTTTGGCTCATTGAACCAATCAGAACAGACTTTTTATTTTTATCTGACATATGATAAACACAGCCATCTGCTGTTCTCTAGCCTGGTGGCTGGCCTAGTCAGGGCCTTAGGGAGACACAGCAAAGTGCCCGTCTCTTCTTTAGGCTTCCCAAGATCATGCAAGGGCACATCTTCTAGAAAAAGAATTGCTTCCCGAAATTACTAACTTTAAGCCAGCTCTGAACCTAACAGCTGATTTGATCATCATAACATCCTAATATCAATATGCATCATGTATTTCAGTATGAGTATACTACCTTACAGCTATGTCTGTGGCTTTCTTCCACACCCCTTCCCACAATGTTGTCTTTTTCCTATTGGAAATGGTTACAAAGTACAGTACCCATCATGTATTTGAAATATTGACATCACGTGGATGCATGAGTCAGTCTACAGGTCTGTACTTTGGAATTTGAATGTTCTAGAGGGAAAAAATAGAGGGCTAGACCCTTCCTTCAGTGAGTAAAATGCAAATAATGTCTTCAGTGCACCAAATAGGCTGTGCAACAAATCATAGTCCAGAACAGAAGCATTCATTGATCATGCAGCATGGAATGAATCCTTCTCTTTCCTTTTCATAAAAAAAAATACCTCTCAGTCTTTCCTCCTCAAATTCAAAGCACAAACTCAAAGGTAGCTAATTTTGAAGACAAGAATGACCTGATGAACTTAAATTAAAGAATTATTTGTAAAATTAGACCAATAATATACTTTGAGAAGCTAAAATCAATCTGTTTTGCATTGTTGCCTCAGTGAGGATGCAGAACCCCACAATTACCAAGAGAGCGGTGCTCTGTACATATGTTATAAAGCACCACTTAAAAATAAGTGGAATAAACACTTACATTTTGAAAAAAAGAAATGGATTTAACTTGGCCCCAAAAGATCAGTTAACAGAGTGGCTTCTGTTGTTATAGAAACTCTTGCATTGCTGAAGGACCTCCTCCACATCCATTCAGAATTAGACGATGACTGTGAAACCAAATAAACCAGCTGACATGTTGAACAAAGGAAAGGTCTTTATCATTTTAACGAGTGTATGCACAGCGAAGTTATTTTTTAATTCTTTGTATATGTTTTCACATTTATTAATGAAAACATATGCTTAAAGAGCCCCTGTCAATTGCTTGGCCTGTATTTTGGATACCCGAAGCAGCACCAAAGCTAGAAGCCATGAAGATCTCCGTAAAAGAGACACTGCCCCAGTTGGAGCTCTGAGAGAATTCCTCTCCCAAAACTGCAGGGAGGCTCGCAGAAACAGTGGGCCTGCTAGCTCACACCATTAGAGGGGAGGGGTGCTGGGAGCAATTTGTATAGCCCGAGAGCCATTGAATCAAAATGGAAACCACTTCAAACCCGGGGGTGCGGCAGCACCTGTAGTTCCAGCACGTATGTTATAGGGTGTCTCAAACACTCATGTAATGTCCGACTGAACTCTGCTGGCTGGTGTGGAGGGAGAACGGGGCCATTGACTCTTCAGTGGCTAGCACCTCCAGAGTCCCTGAGAGGGGCTTTAATTGTGCCCAGCTACAGAACTAAGGGCAGTAGTACAAGAAGACTTTGCATCCTGCCTCCCTCTTAGTGCACTCATGAAACAGCTGGGCACAATCTGGCCCTTATTTGCTACACCACCTATTCTTGCAAAACACCAAACCAAACTGGTATTTGTGTGTTCATGCAATTTTATATGATGATGTTTCCATTCTTTAGATTATGAGCACCGGGGTAGAATCTTGGCTCTACTGAAGTCACTGGCAAAGCTCCCATTGACTTTAATGGAACCAGGATTTCACCATGAGGGCCTGAGCTAACACCCATTAGTCAAGTCATGACTCTTGACTTCAGTGGATTTGGGATCAGGTGTGAGCTGGCATTAATGGACTATGCATGTATTTAGTACACACAGACTAGACCAGACAGAGAATCAGCAATCTGGGGAATGAAAATTATACACAAATTGCTATTTCCAGTGAAGAGACCCATATGGTAGCATATGAGTTGTGAGGCTTTTTCGTGTGTGTCCCATTTTTTTTTAAATGGGGGCACACCTACAAAAATCAGAATGAGAATTCTGCCTGGTTATCAAATGCATCTTCACGTCATCAGAGGAGTTAAAAAATAAAAATAAGAGGCCAAGGGGGGCAGGTGGTAGAGAGGGTTGTTGGTGATGTATTTTTAAAGATTACTATTTATTATTATCTGAGGGGTGTGTGTGTTAACTTTGGGCATCTCTCTAACACTCACCAATGGAAAAAATGAGGCAGTCCAGTCTGAGATGGTTTGGTCATGTAAAGCACAGTCCTGACAACCAAGTGGGCAAAACAATCCAACAGATCAAGAGTGAAGGAAAAAGATACAGGCAAGCCAGGATCCCATGGTGTTGAGGCACTGCGTAAACACATAACAAAGAGATGGCCTCTGCCCTAAAGAGCTTACAATCTAAGTTTTTCTACTGACGTTATTAAAAATCCATTTCTTTCTGAAGTACTAGAGCGATATAATTTCAGTCCTTTATTAGAAATCATCCTGAGGGGAAATACCCAGACCTGACTAATCATAGGGTGAAACCCTGGCTCCATTGAAGCCTATGAGGCCAGGATTTCACCCAGGAACTCTACTGGGTGAAATGGGATCCAGCTCTGAATCCTGTAGCTCCGGTCCCTGGCTACTGTCCATGCAGAATGTGCTCAGTTTTGGTCCAACTATATTTATTGCAAAGGAAAACTCCTGGAATACGTCTATCCATTTTGTCATTCGCAGTGAAGAAGCTGTTGGTAGTACACAACTTACTGTATTAAATAAAAACACACTTCTGCCCCCTTTTTAAATTCTAGCAGGTCCAAATCATTACATATAATGCATATTTTCAGTTAGGGCATTACACTGCTATTTAATGCTCGCGATTGGTGTTATTTACCAGACAGTGAAACATCAGGAACTTTGCAGTTGGGAATGTGTCTTTGTAATGCATTAGGTGAAGCTTAGATGAAATAATGGCTATTGAACATTGATATGATCTGGATAGAAAGAGATGAGAGGTATGAATAGAATCTTTCACTTAAATATGAGCTATAACAAGGAATGCTACATAATCCATTCCTTTTCCATTGACTATTGCTGGCGTGCTTCAGAGTCCAGTAACGTAATGTTTCTAGATAGTTTTCATGCCTCACTCACTGACTGCAGATTCATCAAGATACGCTGCAATGAAGCCTGCATTCATTATAAGGCTGTCAATGTGCTTTCCCATTTCTCATATGTTCACCGGGTCCACACATGAAGCAGCTCACGAAGGGCCTGATGCCACAGCCATTACTCATATGAGTAATCCTATTGTAATGAGTAGGAATTTCTCATCTGAGTAGGATTGGGCCCAGAGTGAATAAGCTGAGTGTGCCTCAACTTCTTCTCCATTAACTGCTAATGCTCTTGATTTTCTTGGACACTTTACTCCCCAGGTACACTTTCACTGGCATTTACACTTTTGAATCATTGATAAAAATACTGGCAAGAGGATTTTGTATGACAGAATTCACCTTCCTTCGAGATCCATGGAATTGGCTGGATTTCAGTGTCATTGTTATGGCGTAAGTAGCATTCCATTGTTCTTTTTCAAGAGTGTGACATGCAGTGTAACTACTTTTCACCTGTTCTTTTTAGTAACTGTTGTTCACCAGTGTACTAGCACAATACTTCAGCTACAACAAATCTCTATGGAATTGTTCCTGAGTGGTTCTAGAGAAGGAAACTTTTTCCTAGGTTCCAGTACAGATTTTGGCAACTTGCTGGGTGATCTTGAGAAAGTTGTTTAACCTCTCTGTGCCTCAGTTTATCTATCTGTAAATTGGTTATAATAATACCTGGTTTTATGAGACTTAATTAATTCATGTTTGTAGGGTGCTGTAAGATTCTTGGATGGAAAGTGTTATGAGAATGCAAGTGATGAAATACACATAAATATATCTGTTTAGTGATAACTGCATTGCAATAAAAATTGAAATGGCTTCTGCTTTGTAATACTTCCATCCCTGACACAGGCCACAGAGGTAGCTCTGATGTTTGTTATGACTGTCTCCCTCTTGTACACAGAAAATAGTAACTAGTATGCATAATAGGGATTGTTAACAATAAATAACACATTTTAATTAGTAGTTACCTAAAATAAAATAAAAATCCTGTAGAAATCTCTCCCGACCCCCAATAACACACCAGAAGCCAGCAAGATAATAACACAATTAAAAAGGAAATAAGAAGTTATGAGTTTTTCCCTGAAAGATGCCCCTGCACTGCTCTGGCATATGTAGAGTGGGGAAGTGCTCAGGAATCTCTGGCCCACAATGGACGTGGTATTGGGAGGAGGTTAGAACATAGCAAAGCTTTGGGATTTGCAACGCTCTCAGGCAATCCTTTTGGTCACCAAGCTAGACTGAGCTGACAAACTCCTTTTCCCCCCTGTAACTTAACCCAATACTTTTTCTATGGGGATTTAGGGAACCCCCCCTGTATTTTTTTGAAGCTAAACAGAAGCTTGTTGCATATACTGGGAACAAGGTTCTCTCACTGCCTCCCACTCCATGCTTGAGTGCCCTTTACGTTGTAAGTCAGTCTACTTTGGGTTCTGGCAATGCAAAGGAGCTGGTGAGTGGATGGATCTGTCCAGCCAAGAATATCTCTGGTCTGGGGGAGCTCTCAGCTGACACAGAGTTACTCATGTCTGACTCTGTTCCCACCTCGCCATCCTGATTGAGTGTAGGCAGTGTGTGTGGTCAGAAAGCGGTGAATTCCACCGATCCCCTGCTGGAACGTGGACCCTTGAGACTGGGGCCCGTGCAGATCATCTCAGAAAGTCACAACCCACCAGTCAGCTCCTTGATACCCTCCCCCATCCTGCTCCAAGCAGATCTCACTGCACAGGAGAATCTGGGCCATTGATTTCAGTGGAATTATACCAGCATAAACCTGGAGTGATGCCCTGGGGAATCAGCCCCAAACTGTATTTTGCAATATCGAATACACTGTGTTTATTTTGTCAATATATTATTTTCTCTCTTCCTCTCTCCTTCCCCATCCTCTCTCCGCTCTTGGTATATCTGTATTTTGTTTTCTCTCCCCCTACGCCAACCTGTTTTCTGCTACATTTTTCTGCTGTTTTTTTCCCCATTGAATTTTTGTTCTCTGCCTCCTTTGTTTAAAGTCTCCTTCCAGCAGAATGCAAACGTTGATATTTGAGCTGAACTCCTGAATCATCATATTTGAGTGGATCCAAAATTTGGTAAAATGTGTCCATCCATCCCTGGTCCAGGCACAGCTATGGGGCATTGAAGTTAGTTGCAGGAGTCTTATGGGGGCAGGTTTGGGACATAAGTTTCTATTAATATTGCTCAAAAGAACAATATTTAGAGGTGTAAAATAATTACCATTATTTGCTATAAAAATCCTCCCATTGACTTCAGTGGTCTTTGGCTCAGACCTAGTATTAAGACGGCCAGATTCTGACTCTGTAATCCTGAGTTACTCTGAAATCAGCATCTGGGCATGCCTATGATAAGCATTTAAAAATGGTACACTGAAGAAGAGACCCCATGTTAGTTGTCTTTTTGCATCAGTTAGTGTTAAATATGTTCCCCCTGTGGTGCTGTGTGTGAACCTTCTTTATTGCATTTAAAAGTTGAGTGGAACAATGCACAGGGGAGGAGTGGTACAGTTCTGCCATCCCCTTCACAGGCCTGGAAGGTCAGCAAGTAGCAGAAGCAAGGTAGTGTAGTTCCATTGTCCGGGAGGTGGTGGGTGGGGCAAGGAGCTCATGCGGGAGCCTCCAACTCTGGTATATTGTGGAGCTGTGTTATTCAGCAGTTCCCGCTACCCTAGCAGACAAAGGACTTTGAGGATGGGTAAGAGTGGACCAGGAGAGAAGAACGGTAAGAACGGTGGGCCTGCCATGATGCAGAGGCTACCTAGCCTTGAGGCTGCAAAGTGGCTGTGCATCTACTGCACTGCCGCTTCTCAGCTAAGCGGGCGGGGGGTGATATTCTATTCTCACGCTGCATCACAGGACTACTTGAACGGGGTGAAATTCACTCCTGTGCAGAGAGGGCCAGCACAAAACTTGTGCCCCACTTAGTTTACTTGGGACTTAAGCGGATCACAGGCCTTTGGTGGCTCTGGCACTTTGGTGGCACTAGGATGAATTTCCCCCACTTGTAAAGAAACTAGGATTTAGCCCATAGAGCCTACAGGACTTTCCCTCTTTGTGATATTGTGCATGTGTTTTAGTTCTTGCAGTGGTATGAATTCTCCTGCCAGTGGCTTCGTAGCACCTGCACAGAAGGCCCCATTGTTCTACAGAGTGTGTTCTCCAGCAAGTGTAGAGATGCCATACTTCCTGTGCACTGTAAATGCAGTCCTTGGGTTTCCTGGGACACTTCTTTCTGCGGCAGAAACAAAGCCCAAGACAGGGAAGATGCTGGCTGCAGCTACACAGAGTAGTAGAAAGTTTCATTACCTCATATCTGTATATAGTGCCTGCTCATAGTAAAGAGTTATCTTGAAACCGATCTGCTTGTAAGTAAGATACTACAGCCTTTGGCAAGAGAATAGTATTTTGCTCCTAGGCGGCATGCCAAATTACTGCCCAAATGATTTTTTTAATCACTTAAGGCCCCCTAAAATAGAGGGTCTGCAGTGAAAAACAAACACAGTGAAACAAAATTATTTCAATAACCGGTGCTTCAGAATCAGCTTATACTCCTGTTGGTGCCTATTCTAAGCCATTCTGTATTAACATATTTTAATCAAATGTGTTTTTGACAGAATTGAGGGGTTCAGTTATTGGGTAGGGCTGGAATGCAATAGAAACAATTGTATTCTCCTCCAGTAGGAAACAGTTCTTCAGGCACTCAAGTAGCAGTGAGAGAGTTAAAATTGATTGCAAGACAATCTGAACGTTATGAATCTTGTTTTCCAGGTATATTTAACAGCAGACAGTGAGAGGCATTGGATATTGGGCTCTATTCTGACATGATTTGTACCTTACATAAACGCAATTTACAAATCATTAAAACCAGAATTGTATTGTATCTCAGGTAGTTCTACAGTCTTGTTTGCTTACAGTTGGTGTGATACTATTGGTAGTTCTGCCTATGCACCTGGAAGCATGAGCAGTGAATAGTGTGTGAGGATTCGTAATGGGATGGAGAGTGCTGAAATATGCGAGGTTTTTATCCCAGACAAATTCATGGGTGTAAAGCTTTGATGTGCCCAGCCAATATATATAATGTTGGCCTGAGTTAACTGAACAGCTATCAGGAGATAAAATTGTTTTGTTAGCAGATGTTATTGTACAAGTCCCATAGTTTCTTTTAGAGTTAATAGGTCATTACTGTGGAATTACAGTATCTCCCCTCCTGAGCATATAATGGAACTAGTTGTATAGGTCATAGATACAGACAGCATCTATTAGTGCAATAGAACAGTAAGCATTACAGAATGTACACAGGGTCTGTTTTCCACATCGCACGGGAGCATACAATATACAGTACTACAGTGTAGTCCTGTGCACTCACTGGGCTTGCTCTTCAGTTTTTAAATGCCATACTGTGAACAAAAGGCAATGTCACTTGTATCATTTGGTTATATATACTCATCTACAGATTATTAATATGCTCTTACAAATCTGTGGTGATCAAAACCACATCCACGTGCCATTGATCACCACAGATTATAATTTCTGGACATTTGGGGAACTGAATTACATACAGCTAGAAAGAAATTCAAACCAACGTGGAGGCTCTACCACTGGGGATGGAATAGCAGCTGCAGAAGGAAGTTTTCACACCCCCTTCTGCTGCAGAAGGGAGTTTTGGTGTTAGCCCTCATTCGGCTGGAATAGAGAGCTATTGAGGGTGGCTAAGGGAGGAGCTACTGATTAGGCAAATCTGCTTGCTCAATCTCTCCCATGAGACTCTGGTAAAGAGAACCAATGTTACTATTGCAGGTCATAATCTGGATTAGCAGGTGTGGAGAGGCTGCTCTGTAATCCCTCCAGAGGTATCTGCACCAAATCCAGTCAGCTTCATCCTTGAAACACAAATTCCATTGGATAGAGGATCTGTGGGAACTAAAATATGCAAATATAATTTCCCATAATCATGCTCGAACCCAAGAGGTTAGAAGGTGAGATGGTGGACAGGCTACATACACTACGCTAGGTTGGAGGAAATAGCTTGTGAAACAACCCCAAATCAGAGTTCTCCAATGAGTTACCCTAGCAGTAGCATTTACACTCACATTTTACCTCACTTTGCATGAGTATCAGTGACAACATGATGTGCAAGGCTGTAGAGTGTCAGGACCAGTATTTTTTATGACAAGTGCATTACCACAGGATTGAAAGTATAGTCCTCGCTTAAAATCTGCAGTTTCAGGCAATAAATAAATACTTTTCTCATCGTCTCTCGGAGCTCACATCAATTGTGCAATGTAACAAAGCAATATATGAGAAATAATCCCCTGGAATTATTTACGTTGATATTTCCTCTTGTATTATATGTGATTGATTTAATCTGTTATGTCAGTATTACAGGGAATATTGTAGACTTAATTTTTAAAACTATGATAGGAAATTTATTTTCCTGTTTTTTAAGTTTTCAATAATTCCTGGGGGGATTAAAACTGAAACAAGATGGTATAATATATATAATATGCACGGCAGAGCACTGTTATAACCAACTCCTATGTATAATTTTAAAGAAATCTATGCCTGATTCGTAAGATTTATGATGTAGGGAACATTTAGCATCCTGTACGATCTGATATACTCAGGAAGAATGGCAAATAAGAACAGCCTTATAAAGTGGGTGAACTGTTCATTCAGATGCATTCATTCTTACAAGTGAATGCACTGTTCATTCAATCCAATAGCATGCTCTACTGTATAATTCCAAATAACTGTGATTTAATTCTACAGGTATGTAGGAGAATTTGTGAAACTAGTCAGTGTTGCACCTCTTCGGATTTTCAGGGTATTGAAAGCTTTTAAAACTATTACAGTAATCCCAGGTAAGAAGCCCTGATCCTTGCATATTGGTGCTCAGCTACAAGTGATTCTCTCTCTGTCTCTCCTTGTCCCCTTGACTGTTGTTTTTTGCTGGCGTTTTGTCATTGTCTGTGTGTGACTTTCCCTTGTTACAGATACATAACTGAATTTGTGGACCTGGGCAATGTCTCAGCCTTACGAACATTCAGAGTTCTTCGGGCGCTGAAAACAATCTCAGTCATTTCAGGTGAAAATCAGGTTAAACACTCAGGCTGCAGTTAAAGCCTACATGCCATTTCCAGTAGCAAATACAAATGACTTAATATAATAGATACTGATTGGGAATGGATGAATGTAGGGAATGTGACCTGTCAATAGAAGACGTTTTTCATATGTTTTTCAATACTGCATTGTGGGCAAAGTGAATCACAATTGTTTCCAAAATGACAAAGCTCACTAAAACGAGTACTACTGTATAATAAGCTTTTGTATACAGTGTATCATTAATCATATCCATAAAGTACTCATTCATGAACCATATGAAAATGGCAATGAAGTTCCATTAACGTCTTCAGATTTTTATATTAAAAATGAAAGAATAAATGATGACCTCAAAAATATTTATTAGAACTTCCAAGTGCCTCTGCAGACAAGTCAAAGTTTGTGCTAAAAATTGAACTCATTTTATAGCTGGAAACATAGGTGCCTTAATTCTTCTGGTGCTGTCTTGTTTATATTGGATAGCAACCCTGGCTGAAATTCTGGCCCTGTTGAAGTCAGTGAGAATTTTGGCATTTACTTCAGTAGAGACAGGATCTCTCCCAATTGATATTTCACATTTTCAATGAAACAATCCCAAAGAGAGTCAGTGTTTTGACACAGTTCCATTAGTGAATTAACCCCTTTTCCCATCGCGTTGTTTTAATCAAACTATTTGATCCCATTTTTAGCTGTTATTACTTACTGTGATTAATAATAGTTTCAAATTAGTGATTTATTCAGAGATGAGCCCATTTCAGAGCTAGCTCCATGAAAATACATTCTTGCCAAGTGTTATCTATGGACAGGTCTCATTCAGCCTCAGTGTTTAAAATATACAACCTGCATGGCAAGGTAGAGAAGATCGCAAAAACCGTGCATGGTAGATCCTGTTGATGATTATCCTGAACAGATGTTGGCAATTACATGTTAAATATATTTGAAAAATTAAGAAGACTGCTCAAAATCAAGCATAGTCATTTAAGTGTAGTGAAATTTTTCAGCCCAGTAGATTGTAAACACTTGCACTATGACACTAAAATCAAAATAAATGACTTGGCTTAAATAGGTATGGTCATGCATGTTCTCAGCTATGATAACCAACAGCCACATAGAGCTTAAAAGTTAGGCATAAATACTGTGGTTAGGCTGCACATATTTTAAGAACACACCTTGTACAATTAGAGCCAGATTCTGCAAATCTTACTCATGCTGAGTAGTGCCTAATTCCAGTCTTAGTGTCATTAAAATCAGTGGAGCTACTTGCAAAGTAAGATAATACTCCGTGTGAGGAAAGATGGTAACGTCTGGCCTTTATTGAGTACTTTAAGAGGTCTGAGGCTTCTGAAAACCTGTAGCATTTCTGTTTTGTATTTTATTTGTCATCCTGGAAGGGTAAACCCAAACAAGCAGGAAAGTTCTGTTAAGATCTTTTACAATTAGGGTGTTCACTGTGAAAATGTTTCTGCTGGGGAAAGCCGTGGTTTAACTGCAAGCCAAGCTCCATGATTTACAGATCACATAAGGCAGTAATAGCTAAGACAAAAAAAAAAAAAAAAAACTAAACCACAAAAGAGCTCTCTCTCTTTTGCCAGTAATTTGAAGACTAACCTGGAGGGACAGTCATCTCCACAGGATGCCTTTCAGTTTCCATCTTGTCTTCAATCCTGAACCTCTTCAAAGCAGAGCCTACCAATTTTGCTGAGTTATGTGTGGTAATTCTGTGATGTTTTAAGAAATCAGAAAGTGAGCTGAAGCTTGTTTAGACTTCAGACAATAAATAGAAGCTATTTTGTAATGAGAAGAGGGAGAGTACAAGATATTATTTAAAATACACCCAAACCTTTCTGTATTATTAAATACCTGATTGAGCCATTAGTTGGTGAAAGAAGATATCAAAGATAATTTATTAGTGCAATACGCAGTAACACATGTTCTCTCTTTTCATCCTCTGGATGTAGAGTCAGCTAATCTTCTTATAACTATTTTAATATCATGATACTAGGGGCCGAATACTTTGCTGACATAACTCCATGGAGTTTTTCCAGTAGGGAATTTGGCCCTTGGATTTTACCATCAAGATTACCTGTGTTTTGAGCATGTAAAATTACACAAATGGAGAGATATGAATGATTGGGCATCTATTTAATTGCTAGTAAAACAGAGATGCAGGAGAGCTCTCATGCAGGTAGATAATTTCAGGTGAGTTGTCCTTCTTTTTAAAGAAATATTTAGGTATTCTTAGAAGTCTATTTTGGAGCTCAGTTTGGGTCTTTAATAATAATATAGGATTTTGCCGAGATGAAATATATTACCACACCGTTGATTTTAAAATGAAAAATGATGAACAGTAATATCTTAAATGCCATTCTTGGGCTGCATTGTATTTTTGATGCCTTTGTTGTTTCTCAGATAAGGAGGGTGATTGCTGGAATTCACTCTCTTTTGCAAAGACCCGAGGTGATTTCCAATCACACTTTTGCATCATCTGGTTATTTATTTACGGAAATACCTGAAATTTGTGAGCTTGGGGAAATTGCTTTCCTGAAATAATGGACCAGATCCTGAGCTGATTTAAGGCTTCTACCCAGCAAAGTGCTCAGGGGCTGATTTTCAGAAACACTCAACATTAGCTTAACTCTGCTTTACTGACACAATGACAGTTTTACTATTGACTTCAGTGGGAGCAGTTAGTTTAATGCTTAGTGCTATTGAAAATCACACCCTTAAGTATGAGCAGCAAAGAGTCCTGTGGCACCTTATAGACTAACAGACATATTGGAGCATGAGCTTTCGTGGGTGAATACCCACTTCGTCGGATGCATGTAGTGGAAATTTCCAGAGGCAGGTGTAAATATGCAAGCAAGAGTGAGTCAGGCTAGAGATAACGAGGTTAGTTCAATCAGGGGGGATGAGGCCCTCTTCTAGCAGTTGAGGTGTGAACACCAAGGGAAGAGAAACCGCTTTTGTAGTTGGCTAGCCATTCACAGTCTTTGTTTAATCCTGAGCTGATGGTGTCAAATTTGCAGATGAACTGAAGCTCAGCAGTTTCTCTTTGAAGTGTGGTCCTGAAGTTCTTTTGCTGCAGGATGGCTACCTTTAAATCTGCTATTGTGTGGCCAGGGAGGTTGAAGTGTTCTCCTACAGGTTTTTGTATATTGCCATTCCTAATATCTGATTTGTGTCCATTTATCCTTTTACGTAGGGACTGTCCAGCTTGGCCAATGTACATAGCAGAGGGGCATTGTTGGCATATGATGGCGTATATTACATTGGTGGATGTGCAGGTGAATGAATCGGTGATGGTGTGGCTGATCTGGTTAGGTCCTGTGATGGTGTCGCTGGTGTAGATATGTGGGCAGAGTTGGCATCGAGGTTTGTTGCATGGGTTGGTTCCTGAGTTAGCTGACCATCCCCAGCTAAAACCTCTCCAACGCATCATCAGTGATCTACAACCTATCCTGGACAATGATCCCTCACTTTCACAGGCCTTGGGTGGCAGGCCAGTCCTCGCCCACAGACAACCCGCCAACCTGAAGCATATTCTCACCAGTAACTACACACCGCACCATAGTAACTCTAACTCAGGAACCAATCCATGCAACAAACCTTGATGCCAACTCTGCCCACATATCTACACCAGCGACACCATCACAGGACCTAACCAGATCAGCCACACCATCACCGGTTCATTCACCTGCACATCCACCAATGTAATATACGCCATCATATGCCAACAATGCCCCTCTGCTATGTACATCGGCCAAGCTGGACAGTCCCTACGTAAAAGGATAAATGCATACAAATCAGATATTAGGAATGGCAATATACAAAAACCTGTAGGAGAACACTTCAATCTCCCTGGACACACAATAACAGATTTAAAGGGAGCCATCCTGCAGCAAAAAAACTTCAGGACCAGACTTCAAAGAGAAACTGCTGAGCTTCAGTTCATCTGCAAATTTGACACCATCAGCTCAGGATTAAACAAAGACTGAGAATGGCTAGCCAACTACAAAAGCAGTTTCTCCTCCCTTGGTATTCACACCTCAACTGCTAGAAGAGGGCCTCATCCCCCCTGATTGAACTAACCTCGTTATCTCTAGCCTGACTCACTCTTGCTTGCATACTTATACCTGCCTCTGGAAATTTCCACTACATGTATCCGATGAAGTGGGTATTCACCCACGAAAGCCCATGCTCCAATACGTCTGTTAATCTATAAGGTGCCACAGGACTCTTTGCTGCTTTTACAGATCCAGACTAACACGGCTTCCCCGCTGATACTTGACACCCTTAAGTATGTGTCTATCTGGAGTAGACCCACTGAAGTCAAAGGATCCATTGAGTTCAATCATCTTTTCATTAGATTTCAGTAATATTATGCCATTTACATTTACACTAGCTGAGAATCTGGCCCCAATCAGTCTACATTAAGTACATTCAAGTGCCATTAAAAAAAAATCCCTTGTCTGTGATTTCCTCATATATATATCCATCATCTTCAGATGCCTCACTTTGGAATAAAGTCCCTTAATGTAGGTGATTTTACTTGTTAATTAGAACTTTGGATCTCACTTATAGTCATGGCAACTAAACATTGTCTGTTTAATTTTAAACTTTAATCCTAAAATTCTTGAGCCAGCCCACTGGACAACTCAATAACACCCATCAATGCCCCATGTTGGGCCTGTTCTAAATCTCACTGAAGTCAACGGAAATCTTTCCATCAACTGCAGTGGACTTCATATCATGCACTTTATGTGCAGAGAAATCCCTCCAGTCATTGATAATAACTAATAAATAAAATAAATTAAACCTGTTCATTGAAAATGGCCAATCTCAGGCTGTGGAACACAGTCAGCAGGAGCAAGCTTCATTAGCAGGAGCCCTCAACTACAGAGGCTGAACAGCAGAGCCTACAGTACAAACACTGGCAGCAGGAGCATCTCAGCTTCAATGCTCAGATGTGAGGGAGAAGTGGTGTCAGAGATAAATAAGTTCAAGGTCTCTGGGGCCTGATCCAGCTCCCATTGAAGTTAGCATGAGTCTTTCATTGACTTTGGGAATTGGATAGGGTCCTTAAAGACTGTAAATAACACTTTAGTTATCATTCGGAACTGAATGTATAGGCAGAGCTCAGAGCACAAGTCTTCAGACCTTATGCGTGAAATTTGCCTATGAATGGAGTGACAGCAAAAGACCCTAAGCACCACTTAAATCCCACTTATGTCCCATTTAAGCCCCACTCTAAAGACATGTTACAGGAGATCTTGTTTTGGCCCTCTCCATAAGGTTGAATTTCATCCTTGTAATAGCAACATACTCCACTCAAGAAGCAGGCAGCCAGTGGGAGGCTCCTGGAGGGCAGCAATCAAACTTGGAGGTGGCAAACACATGTTACATGTTAATGTCTTTATATAAGATGAGCCTGGAAAATAATCATACCCTTCTTATTGAGAGATGATCTGCAGAAACACTGACAGTCCTTTACATTTTCCAAGGTAATAAAAAACTGTTAGCTGCAGTGTGTGTCTGTGGCTAATAACATAATACACTCATTGGAGTGTATTCTTTTCTTGCTACATACACGTAACTCAAAGAGACAGTAATGAGAACTATGCATATCTCAGAAGATGAGAATAGACAAAGTGATAGCAATCGTTGCGCAAGTCAAACTCGGTGGTTTTGTTTTGTTTTTCTTTTCTTTTCTTTTTCTCGGAATACGCATGAAAGTGTCTGATGTACAGTAAGTGATTGCCAACATCTGGTATGGATGACGTACACAATAATGCTAATAATCTATTAAATTTCATAGGAGGAATGGATGGTTTTGGGGGATGTGACTGTTTTTCACTGTTTGGTGTTGCTTGCATTTTTAATAGTTTGCAATTTGCTTTTGAATACTTATTATTTGATTAATCTCTGGTGATGTTCTAATGTGTTAACCTCTACTACTATTAACAGTAATGTTTTGGGCCAAATCCAGCTTGTTTACTCCCTCTAGCTAGGTACACCATAGCATCTGAACTTAGTGACTCTACCCATGTGAGAAAGGCAAACAGGATTTGGCCATAAAAGTGTGGAAAGAATTTAGTCATTCAGAAGAATATTTCATTACTTAATCTGTAAGGGCCTGATCCAAAGTCCATTAATGTGAATTGACTAGTGACTTCAATGAGTTTTGGATCAGGCCTTAAGACTTTCTGCTGCATGCTGCCCAGTTTGGTGCTTGACCTGCAAGAGTTAAATAAATGCCTTTAATGCTCTATAAATAGTATATTCTATTAAGCTGTATTGCAGTGTTCTCACTGGCATTATTTCAAAGGAGGATTAGTTCCATAGAAGATTTAATAGTGGTCTAAATTTGAATACATCTAGCAATTACCTTTAAAAAAACAACAACCGGGAGACCGGGAAATGCAGAGCACCTGCAGCAAGGTTCTGAGTGCCCTCAGTTCCCATTGACTCAGCCCTCATAGCACCAGTCCATAGGGTTTTGGCTAGTGGTGACTTAAATAGTGATGCACAAGCCAAGTGACTATGAGAATGACAGTTACTTTTCTGGCCACATCTTGATTTTGTAGGATGAGACAAAAATACAGTAATCCTGCAAGAAATATTCCAAGTTCCCTTATGGTTTTACCCAGAAAAATGCAACAATACATCAGTAATAGTGAAATAAGAGTAATTTATTTTTAATCAATAATTATAATTTTATTACTAAAGCGCTTTCCACTAAATTGCTCATAGTCGTGTAAGTTCTAAAAAAAACCCCCCATGAATAAATAAAATGGAAAACCCCCTAAAATGGAGTTCTCTGATCCCTGCATAGATTAAACATATAAAACGAACATTCCATTTAAAACCATAGTAACTAAACTGATAGAATAAATTTCAGAAATTGACCTTAACATTAACAGCAGTGGGTCCTGAACTTGCAAACCTTTCCTCATGTTGTATATATCGTACTTGTGCAAATAAGTATTCTCAGGGTTGAGTCCTAATATTGTCCTTGCTCATGCAAGGAGTTCCATTCTTCTTTCTCATGTGAGTAAGGGTTTGCAGATTCAAGTCTCTAATTGCCTCATAGTGGGTAGGAGATACACCACACTCAATTTCTGTGTGAGATACCTTGTGATGTGGCAAAAGATATCAAGGCATCTGGCAAACTAACTAGTGTTATCACTGTACTAAAGTAATACAGATGGAAACTCTGAGTTTGAATTCATATTAATAAAGTGGATGTCCTACAGGACTTTCACATGGATTACTGAGGGGAAAGTGTATAGGATTAGATTTTGTGGGTTAGCTCTAGAGTTAGAGCTCCCCTCTAAAATCCAATTCTTAGTTGTATATCCCAAGTTTGAGCAACTACAAAAAGGCATATGGCAGTATATGTAAAGAGCGGCCAGTGATGAAAGCTCAAACAAAGCATGTCAGTGAGTTAGATAGAAAACAATTAGAAAAACTGCTCTAATGTATTTACAATTGATTTTCCTCACTGGCTGTTTTGTTACTGTTCAATTTAAAACCATTAACAGGCTGGGCCTGTTTTTCTTTATACCCACTCTGCACCATGGACTTGTGTGAGAGTGTTGCCTGAAGAAAACCCGCAGATTTGGGCTGTAACCAAACCTTTTGTAGATCCGCAGAAAGGGAGAATACATTCTCTCATTGGGAGACCTATTGAGTCTTGATTTGTTAATCTGGCCCCAAATGAACATTATCAGAAGAGCTTCACTCCCATTTAGGCACCAAAGTAAGTGGCTAGATTTCCAGAAGAGCTCAGAGCACTCCAAAATCTGGCTCTTATGAAAGTGCCTAAATAAAAGGTGAGCACTTTTGAAAACTGGGCTGCGTTGTGGGTGCTGAGCACTTGAAAATGTGGCCCTGAGCTCTTTTGAAAATCTGGCTCTTGGATAGTGTTTGCTCTGCACAACTTTTTTTTTTTGGGGGGGCCAGTGTGCAGAGGGACAAATGTTGCAGCCCTTTCTGTCCCACCATGACACAAACTGGCTTGGCACAGGGGATCCAAGAGAGGTTAGTGGGGAAACATGGCCTTCCTACAGCCTAGTAGTTCAGTATGTAATGGCTGCATGGCCATTCCACTGCCATTAATACAGTTAATGGCCTATGGTAACACTTGTACCCCGCATAGGAGTGTAATTTGTTTACGCTTGTGGGTCTGTGTAGTGCAAGATCCATTGGCCATGCTAAGATTTCAACCAGCTTTAGAAACAGCAATTTCCTTTTGTTTGTGAAACAAGTTTGAAGAGAGAACAAAAAATGTTTTGCTTTCTTACAAACCCTTGTGTGTTTTCTTTTTTGTTTTGGTTTTTTTTAAACCATTTTTTGATTATTATTTTTTTTGCCCATACAGCTCTAATCCAACTTTCATGGCTGTTTAGTGCTATGAGGTGGAATTCCTGGGAATCAAGACCTAATATGTATGATGATGTTCAGTGGGCAGGTCAACTCATTATGAATATTTCCCATAAAAAAACTTCACCTGCTTTCTTTTGCATTTTTTCTTTTAACTTAATTCCCTTTAATGCTACTATATTAGTGTTATTAAGGACCAGAAGCATTAGTTACTGGTAACTAAATATTCATTAAAAATTAATGTTAATTAAAAAACATAGCTGCTACTGGCATGCAGTTGCTCTGGAAGTCCTGCTAGATATTTATGATGAATAAGAGGGCTTTTTAAAAGGAATAAGTCTTCCTTGGTGCTGTTTACATAATGTAGCATTCAAATATCTCCATATTTGATCTCACATTAAGGTTCACATTCACCTCATTTTATGCAAACTAGTTGAAGTTAATGGGACTATTGGCCTGAGTAAGGCAAGCAGGATTTGGCCTTATTACATAAAGTGTTCAGACATAAAGCAGTACACACATGCTTCTTCATGTGATCAAAAATGATAAAATTTTCAAAAGTTCCCTAGTGACTTAGACTCCGATATCCAATTTTCAAAAGTCAATGGGACTTAGGCTCCTAAGTCACTTAGGTACTTTTGAAACTTTGAGCATGCTGTTGACAAATCAGTTATCTAAATCTTTAATCTGTTTACTCTTACATATAATATGCACTTGAAATATTACATACCATCTATGCAGTTTTATTTTATATATGATCAGTTTTATGTCTCACTCCTTGCCTTTTAGTTCAATCAAATATTTTTCTCTGTTTTTAATGGCTTTTTCATTTAAAAATAATAGGAAGAACAAACATAAATAGGAACAAATTTGTCCAAAATATTAGGCCCAAACTACGTTTTCAGATTAATCACTTCTGCCTTGTTTGTGCCATCAGGTTGCAAATATGTAATATAGACCCTTTGATTAGGCACTGTAGCTTCTGTGCAGAGTTTCAGCTCTCAAAAGGAATTAACTACACCGTTGTTCCTGCGTCTAAGTCTATAAACTCTTGGCTTTTATCTCCCTAGGATTGAAGACCATCGTAGGTGCACTTATCCAGTCTGTTAAGAAACTTGCTGATGTGATGATCCTGACCGTTTTCTGCTTGAGTGTCTTTGCCCTGATAGGCCTCCAGCTCTTTATGGGCAATTTGAGACATAAGTGTGTCAGGAACTACACCGAATTTAACTCTACCAATGGCACATTTTATTCAGGCGTTCAGAAGTGGAATTCCTTGGATGATTTTCTTAATGATCCAGGTAAACTCTTCTCTTTAACCTTTTAAGTTAGTTATCTGTCTCTTTGCATTATGATAATCAAAACCTATGTACAAACCAATTACTGCCAAAAATATGGATGGACCGAACTCCTCTCCCAGAACAATGGGCCAGTGGTTTGGGAAGCTCCAGATGTGCCACCATATTTTTACTGCATTGTTGGAAGCAGTGCTACCAGTTGGCACTTCGTAGGCTATGTGATAATGACTGAAACACTCATTGCAGTTTTCAGAGTAGCAGCCGTGTTAGTCTGTATCAGCAAAGTGCCACAAGTACTCCTGTTCTTTTTACTCATTGCAGTGTTGCCATTTGTTGAGACTTTTTGTGAGACTCAAAAAAAATTTTTTTTGATATTTTTCTTAAAGCCCCAGTCAGGTGATTATATGAAACTCTCACCCTTTTTGCTCTTTTTTTTCCTTTTCTTTTTTTAAACTAAGTTTTTAGCTCTCATAGTTAATGGGAAAAGCTTGAAAATGTGGCCCCTAAAGACTCAAAAGGCAAATAAAATGAACCCAACCTTTTATTAATGTTAAAAATCTCATGATTTGGGGGGAATTAGCTCCCTATATGGAGTTGGCAGTATTGCATTATGTGGTGCTGTGATAACATTACCAGAAGGTGTGCTTTCTAAACAATCTATGGGTTGCTTTTCTTTGAATTACAAGTAAAAATATGTTAACCCAACTCCTGTATTAAAATTTTAAAAATTGCCTTTCATGTAAATAAACTTCATAGTCAGAATGAATGCCTCCGCTATTGACAAAAGGCCTGATCCAAAGCCCATGGAAGTCAATAGAAGATTCTCATCAATTTCAGTGAGCATTGGTTCAAGCCCTAAATAATTTAATGATGCTGCCGAGGAAAGGGAAATAATAGCAGCATGACAGATGTGACTCTTGGCTAATGTATGAAAGGTGAAATCTGTGAGTATTTTGTTACTTTATTTATTTTGAGAGAAAGGACACTCTAATGGTTATTTTGAGAGGAAGGGCACCCTAGTGGTTAGGAAACTAGCCTGCAATTCAGGAGATTTGAGTTCAATTCTCTGCTCCACCACAGACTTCGTGTGTGACCTGGGGTAAATCATAGAATCATAGACTCAGGGTTAGAAGGGACCTCAGGAGGTCATCTAGTCCAACCCCCTGCTTAAAGCAGGACCAATCCCCAACTAAATCATCCCAGCCAGGGCTTTGTCAAGCCTGACCTTAAACACCTCTAAGGAAGAAGATTCCACCACCTCCCTAGGTAATCCATTCCAGTGCTTCACCACCCTCCTAATGAAAAAGTTTTTCCTAATATCCAACATAAACCTCCCCCACTGCAACTTGAGACCATTACTCCTTGTTCTATCATCAGGTACCACTGAGAACAATCTAGATCCATCCTCTTTGGAACCCCCTTTCAGGTAGTTGAAAGCAGCTATCAAATCCCCCCTCATTCTTCTCTTCTGCAGACTAAACAATCCCAGTTCCCTCAGCATCTCCTCATAAGTCACGTGCTCCAGCCCCCTAATCATATTTGTTGCCCTCCGCTGGACTCTTTCCAATTTTTCCACATCCTTCTTGTAGTGTGGGGCCCAAAAATGGACACAGTACTCCAGAATGAGGCCTCACCAATGTCAAATAGAGGGGAACGATCATGGCCCTCGATCTGCTGGCAATGCCCCTACTTATACAGCCCAAAATGCTGTTAGCTTTCTTGGCAACAAAGGCACACTGTTGACTCATATCCATCTTCTCATCCACTGTAACCCCTGGGTCCTTTTCTGCAAAACTGCTTCCTAGCCATTCGGTCCCTAGTCTGTAGCAATGCATGGGATTCTTCCATCCTAAGTGCAGGACTCTGCCCTTGTCCTTGTTGAACCTCATCAGATTTCTTTTGGCCCAAT